GTAATTCTCCTTATCACTCCGATAAGTTATATGCCAGTTCTAACACTGTAATTAAACGTTTAGAAACCTGAACACATAAAATTTCCTAATTCTAGGTCGACAACAGACCTTCGATCTAATCATATAATAGCATTTGAAATAGTCAAACTAAGGTATGCTATAATTCAAACCATTTAGCACATAAAACCAGATTAGGCATCTTATACAATAATGAGTTAGTGCTTGTGTTAATTCAAGTGTATTATCTAAATTATAATGGACACACATCTCACGATCATTACTTAGAATTCTATGTTTAAGTCTATAAATCCTACAAATTCCTAGTTCACTTAAACTAATGCTCTGATACCAACTGTGATATCCCTATTTTTACGGCAAAAATACCGATTTGTTTATGATTATTAAATCAAAGTATTCTTTTAAAAAGATTACTTATATGGAATTTGTCCCACAAACATGATAATATTATTATCAAAGCATTTTCGAATAAGTGTGTTTTATTTATAAAACTCCGGATGTTATCTTCAATATAGAAACATAGGCATAAACGAAGACTTACTACGTTTCATTACACTAACGGTCTACACCTCCTTGAATCTCGTAGCAGATACATACATCATTATCCATATATAATTACCTGTGATGCAAAGAAACTGAGTGGGTCGGGTTGGGAAACTTGGTGAGTACATAGGGTTTTCAACCCACAACATTATAATCTTTAATTATATATTCTTCAACATTCAAATAACCCAATTACCCCACTCCTGTTATTCTCACTTACTAACCCTAATATGATGATTTAGAGGGATCTTTCTTAAAGGACCTTTATCAACAGACAACTATAACTCCTAGATGATTAGGCACCGTATATGATATTACTTTGGGTAAACACGGTAACACGACAATAGATTAGTACTTTGGATAGTCACGACAGTACAATAGTACTTTGATTTAGCACGACAGTACAATAATACTTTGGTTTAGCACGGCAGTACATTAGTACTTTGGATAGACATGGTAGAAACGACTTATTATTTTGCACACTTCTCATAACCTATCACAACTACTATCTCACACGGCTCTAGTACGACCTCTCGTTTATTATTTCACACAGTCCATTACTACCCAATCTTATTATTAAGTATGATAAAGTATAAATAGTTTAACCAAGTAATAACTATATCATGTTGCACATACATATTAAACACATCAAGACAACGAACATAACATTTAAGCAATTAGAATACTTGTATCTATGTGTAAGTTTGAAAGTAATTATGTACACACCTGATAAAAGTGACTGACGATTTTGGCAGCGCTTCGCTTAGTACTTTGAAAAGACCTAGACGCATAAAGTGCTAAGCCTTAGTCTAGTTTTGTAATCCCGGTGACTTTAATTATTATAGTATGGATTCCTCACTAATCCTAATGTTTACATCAAGATCTATCAAGTAAGGATTAGCTATACAGTACAGTTAGGAGGCATGATCATTTCGGCATAATAGCTTTTCTGAAATCCAACAACCAAGCCAACGTGACCATTCTAGAAACCTTTTCTCTAAGTAGATCAATCAATATAATGACTTCGAATTAGTGATAAATCTTATTTATAGGTTCATAATAATGACTTATGACTATAAATATACGTTACACTGAAAACAGAAGAGTGTAGCTTAACTTACAAAGTTTTTAAGCGAAAATATGTGGACAGAATCCCGAACCGAATACTCCTTCTAGTCGGGCTCCGAGAGTTCCCTAGACTCTACTAAAATATTCCTAAAAGTTGAGAGAAAAACCTACTTGAAAGCTTAGAGAGATTAGAGAGAGATATGAAGGAAATGGTGAGAAAATGAGTAACATTCGACAGCTATATATAGCCATTTAACTGAAGCGCACCACACAAGGGCCAGGGCGAGTCGCGCCTAGTAGCCTTGTTGGCTCCTCCAGCTTCATGTCACGTGTCGCTGCCTAATTGCCCCGCGTCCCTTGCTTCCAGAACATGCTACATGGAAAATTTTTGTGGAGCCACGTGTCGCAACCATGTGATGCCATGTCACCTTGACCTTTGGAGGAGGGGAGAGGTCGACTTGCCACGTGGCGCTCTCTGGCGCTGCCACATCATCACCGTGTGCCAGGCGTCGTGCCCGTGTAAATTTCCAGATTTTCAAAATCGTATAATTTCTTTATACAAACTCCGTTTTCGACGTTCTTTATATCACCAAAAATATATTGACAAGATTTACAACTTTCATTTAGACTCCATCTGCTAATTCTGACTTTATTTTTAAAGCTATATTTTAAACTGGTTTAAACTGTTAAGTCTGTTTAAAAATTCATAACTTTCTCATATGATATCCGTTCCCGACTGTCTTTATATCAATGAAATAATATGGACGAGATCTTGAACTCTCATTTAGATTGTTTTTCCTAACAATCAACCGATCTCCACTTTGGTTTCTAAGCCGTATACTGTTGCGTTGAAACTTCGAAAAATCATAACTTCCTCTTACGAAGTCAGATTTGGACGTTCTCTATATGCATGCTCTCGTTTTAACGGTCACTACGACTTTCATTTAGATGACTAAGGTTAAACATTAATTTATCAAAAATTTACTTTTTACGATACGCAGAGTCGTGTCGGTTTAATCGCGAAATTCGAAGAAGCATAACTTCTTCATATGAAGTCAGATTTAGCCTTCTTTAGATGCACAAAATCCTTGTCACATATACTATAACTTTTGTTAAGATTATTTGTGCTAAATAATCTTCTATCAAAAAGTCATATTTAACGCTTATTATCTTTAAATTGACTAGCCCGAATCTGCGGGCGTTACAAAGAACAACAAATTAATGAAGAGAAATGTTGAATTGAAAAACTAACCAACTGGAATTGATGAGATCTCACCAATTTGGGGCAAAAACTTTACAAGGTCTAGATACATGAAATGCGTAAGGGTGATGAACCTGATTGTTCGTTTCATCACCTTTTGTTTTCGTCAGAACCACTCTCTGATTTGCTATTGTTGTTGGTTGCAAAATCAACTCTGGATAATTTGTCAACACTAAATTTAGAAATCAAAATAGAGAGAGGTGAAGATAGATGGGGTGTAGAATAGGGCTCATCGTCCGATTCTCTGTAATGGTTGGAGAAATAGGTATATATAGGGTTCTGGAAATTTGAAGTGACAGATCTTGTAAGCATTATACTGATAGAATACGGGAAACCCTAAATCGATTTCAAGGTTTTTTGAGATGCGAAAGAACTGAAGAAAATCTTGAAAGTAGGGTTTCTTTGAAGCGATAAATGGATTATTTCGTAATATGGTCGATCGATTTCAGTACCAGATGAGCTTGGTTCCGATCGATCAATTTTAGTTCCACATGAGATTTGAAGTCGAAAATTAGAAAAAAGGGTTTTTTATTTGGTTGATCGAGAATCCATCTTTCTAATAGTTCTAGCTTACGTCGATTTGTGATGAGAAGGATATGGACAAATGGTTTTAGTGAAAAAAGTTATAAAGCGACGGGTACACTTGACACACTAATTTGATAGGTGCCTTCCGTGTGTGTGTTTTGAAACTAATTTTAGGACACTCAAAAATATGTGTCCTAAACCCTTAAAATTTTGGTAGAGCTGATGTTATTTTTAGGGCACATAGTTTTGCATATCATAACACCAGTACGTGTCATCGTTCGCGTGTCATCAAAGGTCTGTTTTCTAGTAGTGAACTCAATAACAAGCTAATCCGAAACCGTACTGAGACTCCAAAAACCTACAAAACACCTTATGAAAAAAAAGTATTAAATACGATTCAAGATAAAGAAGTGATAGAATATGCAATGCAATAACAATAAAAATGCTAAAATAAACTACATAAAAGAAGTAAATAAAACAAACTATCAGCGCTGCCCTCGGACCTCGATGTTTTTGAGTCCTCTTTAGTTATCTGAGTGTGCACCTCGCACCTTTTATCTGCTAGATATATGGTGTTTCGATTGCTCAGAATCACTAAGAGTCGCGATGTATTTTCAGAGTGAAATATTTCGATGGTACAATCGGAATTCAACTGGGATAAAAATTAGTGATTTCTAGAACAAAGAATGAAGAAAAATATGATCTTTTTGTCTACGAGATTCGAATGACCAAAACCGGGATATAACTACCGTCTAAAAACTAATGAAAAACTATTGTATAGCAGTTTCATAACCATCACGTAACTGACATAAAACTGAGTCTACATATAGGGTCAAAAAACCGGTTTTGAAACACACAAAACCGCCAAGGGTTGCCACCCTTTGGACCCCGCTACCAGGCGTGTTGCCCCTTGACCCCCGTGGTTCAGGGGCTTCACCCCTAAATATCAGTGTATTTTAAATCATAATAAACTTAAACAAGTGTGCATTCCACACCAACCTTACTTGTTCAATATTTATTAAGATTACATCGGTCAACAAGTTAATCTCATTACATTTAAATAATATTGGTGATACAAATCACCAACACTGTCTCCGAATATAATCAAATGAAAATCAACATGTCTCGAATAGAATTCAAACTACATACAGATGTATCGATGACACTAAAATCGCCAACATTAAAAATCTCATGTAGTATCTCTGAGTGATTAAATTTGGTCATAGTTTTAGCGAGATGTTCATTTCTTGGTTTTGTTAGCTCGTTTGTAATCATAGCTTTATTTATCCGATTAATAAAATCCCATCCTCTTCTTTTGTGGACGTGTACACCATCACATTAATGGTGGAACCATGATAAATTCTTGTATATTTTAGTTTGGTTGATTTTATTTGGTATTTTGTTTGACAAACTGGATTTAGTTTTTCTCTATTCCGGTTCATTATTTGTTATTCATCCGGATGTCAATGTTTGAGTTACACTAGATTCCAACAATGACAAAAGGCACCATATTTCCAAACACAATAGCCCATACCAATATACCATAACGTATTGCGTTTGTATATTCACTTAAGAACATCAGCAATAGTACCTTACAAGCATTTATTCCAATTTATTTGAATCCATGATCACATATGGGATGAACATGTATCTAATTGCCTTTTATATATATCATATATATATATAGAGAGAGAAAGACAGTATTTTAAATATTTTGTAACGTATATTTAGTCTTAGAAGACAATATCTTTCGTTTTAACTTGTGGAGTAACATAATAATCGACTGTTTTCTCCCACCAAAATCCTCTTTCAATGTAGGTCTCATGAAAACTTGCTTCTTCGGTATCTTTGATACTTAGTGCAATCATGCTTCTCGTCCCATAACGACCCTGATGATCAAAAAATCGAATTTAATTAACTGAGTCAAGAACTTTATTATGACCTTTAAGTTTTAATTAGAAAACATGTAATACATACCAACGGGGTGTCTACTTCAACAAATATTGAGCTTAGATTATGCTCCCAATCAATGGAACAAATATTAGGAAGTTGACTCTTTTCGGCTTTCATGGTGTCTCTCATTAGTTTGTCCATCATATCCTTCATGGGTATATCTTCGTCTTTATCATATGCGCTAAGCAACTTTTTAAAATTAAATTTCAAACGTTGAGCCTGAGAGAATATCATAATGATTCAAATTAAACTCATTTTTTAAATAAATGAGTTAGAATTTTCCTATCTAGCTTTTTATGTTCATGGATTCGCATAAAATTAAAATAGAGTGCATGCTAATTAAGAATTTGAGACCTTTGGCCAAGGGGAGTCGAGCTTGGCATTGGAGAGGACATGGATGCCTGGTTGAACCTGTTGAACAGTTGGAGGTTCACTTTTTGGTCTATTTGATATATAAAACATCGTGTTTGAAGAAAGGTCAAGGGTTATGAGGTTGAACCCATTGTACTCATGAACCTCCTTCACCAATTCCTTTGCAAATTCCTCTGGACTCTTATTGCTCTACAAGTAAAGTTCATCACATATGAGATTTGACAAATTATATATTCGTAGAAAATACTTTATCCTCTTTAAGTTTTATGTTAGGAAACGTGCATTTAAGATTAATGTTTAAAACATATATATGTAAATTTAAAATCATATAAGACTTACGATTACCTAAGTGGAATTTGGTAGCTGGTTCCTTATTTAGGTTGTGTTTGGCGCGTCACAGATAGCTAATAAACTAACTTATTTTTCGAGACTTGTTATAGTTGTTATGTTTGACAAACAAAAAAGGATTATAAGCTAGCTTTTTAAAAAAGCTACTTACACTAAGCTTTTTAGGATTTTTTTTTATAATTTACAAATAGACCCCTTAATTAATTATAGAAACACATTTTTTAAAATTTCGTTTTAGGTCATTTTATCTATTTCAGCTAGTTTTATAAAACGTTATTTTTTATCAATTAGTTTTCAGCTACCAGTTAACTTTTTACTTAATAGTTAGCTTTTTAGTTATCCGCTAATTTTTCAGCTAACAACTAACTTTTCACCTAATATGCCAAACATAGCTTTAATATACGTTTTCTTATTCGAGTATAGGAAAACAAACCTCCAAGAAACGAAGTGGAAGGTCTCCTCTAGTTTTGGCTTCCGGGAGAGTGTGAAGCTCTAAGACGTTAGTAAGGAATGACACTCTTCCTCCCCTCGTACAAGCCAACCATGTTCCTCCGGCAACCTCATCTCTACCACCCAATATCTCTCCACCCTCCCACCACCCAACCGCCTTTGTTGGCCTTTCATCAGTAATAACGACAATAAAATAAGATACTAATTAATGTACATACCTTAACACATTTATACGTGTAAAGAATGAGTTGACAATAAATGAAAGTGGTAGATGGTAAAGAAAGAAGAGTAACATATAAACAACAATAAATGAAAGGTTGTAAATGGTAAAGAAAGAAGAGTAACATATAAACACAGAAAGTACGAGCTTACAACAACTTTTTGTTAGTAGCCACATGAATTGTAAGTGATCTAATTGTATATTATAAAAAAATTGGTTTTAAGATTTTAATTTATTACATAAAATGTAGGGAAATTAAGTAATCTTAACCATTATTTAATATGTATTTGAAGAAAATAACAAAAAAAAAACCAAAAATAACCATTTGGTCCGGAATAGGCATTTCGGACAAAAAAATATATTTTTTTTAAATTTCAGACTAAATTCCGGACCAACATTCCGGATTCCGGAATGATATTTCGAATGTCGAAATAAAAACTCCAAAATTTCAGAGACAAGTCTGAAATCCGATGAACAATTCCGAAATTTCGAGAAATTTTTTTGATATTTTATTTAAATCTAACAAAAAGTTAAACAAACATAGTAATGTAAACTATATACAATATTAGTGCATAAAATCAAACATTTTTATTGAAAAACAGTGACATTAAACACTTCGAAACATAAATTTCAAATATAAGTAAGGATATTTCTTTCAAATTTTTTTTGAAAAAACCAAAAAAGTAACTTCAAAATTCAAAGATCAAATACGGAATGGAGCATTCAGAATCCAAAAAAAAAAGGATATTTCTTTGAAAAAAAAAACTGGAAAAAAAAAACTACGGAATATGAGCAGTAATCCGAAATAAGACATTCCGGAAAAGTGTTTATTTTCCAAAAACTAAAAAAAAAGTTATATTCTTTAAAAAACTCATTTATAATTGTTAGATTACTTAATTTCCCTAAAATCTATATGATAACAAGTAAATTATTTCGTTTATTTTCCTGAGAGGTCTCGATTGTTAGATTACTTAATTTCCCTAAGTGATCTAATTGTATATTATAAAAAAATTGGTTTTAAGATTTTAATTTATTACATAAAATGTAGGGAAAATTAAGTAATCTTAACCATTATTTAATATGTATTTGAAGAAAATAACAAAAAAAAAAAACCAAAAATAACCATTTGGTCCGGAATAGGCATTTCGGACAAAAAAATATATTTTTTTCTGACAAAAAAGTAAATTTCAGACTAAATTCCGGACCAACATTCCGGATTCCGGAATGATATTTCGAATGTCGAAATAAAAACTCCAAAATTTCAGAGACAAGTCTGAAATCCGATGAACAATTCCGGAATTTCGAGAAATTTTTTTGATATTTTATTTAAATCTAACAAAAAGTTAAACAAACATAGTAATGTAAACTATATACAATATTAGTGCATAAAATCAAACATTTTTATTGAAAAACAGTGACATTAAACACTTCGAAACATAAATTTCAAATATAAGTAAGGATATTTCTTTCAAATTTTTTTTGAAAAAACCAAAAAAGTAACTTCAAAATTCAAAGATCAAATACGGAATGGAGCATTCAGAATCCAAAAAAAAAAGATATTTCTTTGAAAAAAAAAACTGGAAAAAAAAAACTACGGAATATGAGCAGTAATCCGAAATAAGACATTCCGGAAAAGTGTTTATTTTCCAAAAACTAAAAAAAAAGTTATATTCTTTAAAAAACTCATTTATAATTGTTAGATTACTTAATTTCCCTAAAATCTATATGATAACAAGTAAATTATTTCGTTTATTTTCCAAAAACTCAAAAAAAAAAAGTTATCTTCTTTGAAAAACTCATTTATAATTGTTAGATTACTTAATTTCCCTAAAATCTATATGATAACAAGTAAATTATTTCTTTTTACGTGCTAGCTAAATAGATGTGTGGACAATTGGACATGCACTCGTGATAAAACATAAAAGTATTGTGGAACAAAAAATGGCAATACGTATATGCAAACAGACAGTTGGCGATCTTTGAATCTAAATGAATGTTATCAGTCGAAAAGTCATATGTCGTTTTGATGAACTAATTAGCTTCGCTGTTAAGAATGAAATTTCAAAGAAACGAAGAAAATGTACCTTTAAGCCAATGTTGAGTTTCAACCTTAACAACATTTGGTGTTCTAAGTCTTAATTGGATCAGTTACATTTAATTCTAAAAGACTTGTAACTACTGACTATATATACTAAATGTTTCTTTTACCTGTGGTGATATTCGTCTCTATTAAGCAAAAGAAGGAAAGGGTAGAGAGGGTGAACTTGCCAAGCAAACACTGCAATGCACATATCTATTATTTCAGAATCTAATGGAGAGTTTGATGTGCAATGTTTGCTTTCATGAGTTCATCAAGGTGTGGAGTGTTTGTGTGTTTATAGGCACACAATGTTCTGGAAAATTACATGAAAGGTCCCTTGATTATAGCTTCAAGTAACAAACTTTGTCCATTGACTTTGGAAGATCATCCATAATCATTAATCTTGTTGTATAACTTCTTTACCTTTCATATTAGATTTTTGCTATCTATATTTAACAAAAATCTATCATAATAAACAAATTACAATTATTGACGAGTTTGAAGTTTTCTTTAAGTTAACAAATTAGTTTATCAACATCATTATAAAATATTTTATAAAGTTTACTCATATAATTGTTAATTATGTGTAAGCGCATGTAATATATTTTTTTTACAAAAAATAGTACATAACAATAACATCAAAAAAAAAGTAAAAAAAAAAAACTCAAATTGTACAACAATCACATTAACTAAAATAATTATATTTAACAGTTTAATATATTTAGGAGAATAAAATGAAACATATTGAATAGGACTTAATTATACAAAACACAAAAACTCGACAAGGGAATGCCTAAGAATGATTCAGTATCATATGACAAATATACAATATATTTAATTGGAAAAAAGTGTATAATAGTTTCTCAAGTTATTTATATTTAAATAAAATTTGATACATCTCATATCATGTTTGTAATATAATCATAAATTTCATGCATCTCATGGCCTGACTTTTGCATGTTATCATGCTTAAATCCTGAGTGTATACATGTACTCATTGTTTTTTAACAATGTTGAAAATCATATATGATCATCTAATTCTTTTGTATACATGTAATCATTGTTTTTTAACAATGTTGAAAATCATATATGTCAGGTTATACCTTCTAATACATTATGAAATATCCTATTCAAACATTGATAATTGCTAGTAGTAAATAATTTTTTTTTTATTTTTTATTTGGTTCAATATTTCTATAATTATGTTATTTATTTATTATTTCCTTAAGAAAAATTATGAAAATGACATGAGTTGATTTGGAAAAAAAAAGTACATTCATTTACACATTAATAATTTTTTACTCAATCGACAATATTTACATGTAAGATAAAAAATTAACCATATAGCCTGTTTAATTACTTATAAATGTTATATTTGAAATAGTATGGACCCAAAAACTAGCTTACAAGCTTACACTACATATGCTTCAAATAACAATGTTGATAAAAAAAAGCTTTCCTAATGGTAAAAAACATTTTAAGGAGTAACTATTATTTTCCTTTAAAATAAATAAATAAATAAAATAAAAAATAAATAACACTAGAGATCGCTCCAAGTAACGATTTTGTTATAAACCAAAGGATGTTTGAATATGAGTTTCGAATTGATCATTAAGAATTTTGATTCATAGGCAGGTAATAATACAAAATTATTAAGTTAAGTATTCTTATATACTTATTTTACATATAACCTTAAAAACATGTTCGACAGTTTCTAATTAATTTTACTCCAAAAATAACAAATTAACAAATCAACTTTTCCTCACATCATAACATCCATTGAATGCGAAAATCTATTGTTTTATTCGAACACAACTCACATGATCACTACTAGGCCTTCTTAATACTGAAGGAGTTAAGGTTGTTCCCAAATATGTTATTTAAAGCAATACAGGACCAAACATGTTACCAACATGAATGTCAAGGGACTATTTTAAAAAATAATAATTTTAAGGGTGGTGATGGTAGGGATAGGGGTAGGAAGTCCATTTAATGTTACTTTGATGGACATTATCGAAAGAATCATGTGCATGAATTATTCCAACCCATATTTATATGAGCAATGAATAGGTTGAGTTTTTAGGTGGTTATGATTTTACCTTATTGAGCTTTCAAATTTCTAAGCTATTTTCTAAAGAACAAAGTTTACGTAAGAAGAAACTGTTCTCATCAAATGTTATGGATTTTTTGAGCAACTTAATATTATATATATATCATATTAGCAATGAGCTAATGTAAAATCAACTATTACAAATGAACACACATAATAGGGTTTTGAAACTAACGACATCTGACATCGGACTAATTTTGGTTTTTGATTCCTAGACACAAACCAATTAAAAGAATAATAAAGAAACCGAATCTGTTAACGAGTCCCTTCTTATATGCTTTGTACCAAAAATGATGTTTCTGAAATTTCACATGACCCACCGTATAGCCATAATAATCACTTCCAATGCCAATTGTTTTGTATTAGATAATTTAATCAAGTCAGATCCAACTAATAACATCTTCCAACAACATAAACATGGAATCGACAAATCACACCAAATTTCAATTGTTACCCGGAGCTCCACCGTAACACCAAAAGAAAGAAAAGTGTGGGTTAACCCTTTCACAATTATACACTTTCTTTTCTTTTTATGGTTTTTAGATCCAACGCTCCAAACCCGATTTGCACAAAAACTAAAGGTACATTTTAAATAGTTTCATTAGTAAGCTTTAATATCATTGTTGGGTTTTGATTTGATCAATATTGTTAAGATACAAAATGCAAAATAAATAAACAGAAAATGAACTTAGGGTGTGTTTGGTACCGATAAAAGAAATTCAAATAGAGAATGAAAATGTAGATAAATATAATTGAGGTGGAGAAATATAATTGATTCCACTGTTTGCTAAAAGAAATAAATCTCATAGAAATAAATACTTGAGAATCAATTTAATGGTGTATGACACAAAACAATTACATACGAGGCCTGCCAAAGACTTGCCAAAATGAAAGGTATAATAGACAAAGAAGGATAGACATGGAAGGACAAAGGACTACATGATATAATAGTAATAATTATTTATTCATGCACAATAAAATTTTTTTAGCTCCTGCATAAGATCTAATCACTACTAGAATATATGTCTTTAATGACACGCAAACCACGACACGTACTGATTTATGTTACGCAAAAGAGAGTGACCTTAAAATAGTGTCATCTCTCAAATAATTTTAAGGATTTAGGTCATGCATTATTGCGTGTCCTTAAATTAGCGTCTCAAGAAAAAAATTAAAAACACGGAGGGCGCTTTATCTTAAACGCACGTCCTCTAGAACTGTCGCTTTATAATTTTAATGAAATGTGCGTTTAGTAGATAACGTGCGTTTAGAAGACTTGAGGAGAGAGGAAGAAAGATGAGAAAATTGGTTATTCTCTTAGGAAGAAGGAGTGGAAGAAAAAGAGGCACCCAAAGGGTCCTATTTATAATTGATAGGAAAACACTGGAAACCCTAATCTTGAATAAAAATAGTAATATTTATGTAACATCCCCCTCTGGCACGTATCATAATATTGTCCGCTTTGGGCTCCCGATACGAAAACTTCCCAGGGGGTCACCCATCCCTGAATTGCTCTCGTCCGGGCACGCTTAACAGCGGAGTTCTGATGGGATCCGGTGCATTAGTGCCGGAATGAGCGCACCCAAACTTGAACAATCCTTTTTTCACAATCTATGATCGCTTGGTTTGCCGACAACCAATCCATCCCTATAAGAACATCAAAATCACCTAGGGCTATAGGTAACAATTTTAACGGTACTATGCAACCTTCTATTTCGATAGAGCAATCATCATATTCATCCCTTACTAATAGTCAATGATCGTCAGCAGTTTCAATTTCTAAGGCATGTTCTAGAATCTTTGCATTTCTAACCACCCATTTGCAAAAGGTAGTAGACACAAAAGATCTATTTGCACCAGAATCAAATAATACCCTAGCAAGTACTGAGTTTACTAGGAAAGTACCTGTCACCACATCCGGGGTCTCTCGAGCCTCCTGAGCCGTCATGCGAAAAGCTCTAGCTTTTGGTCTACCAGTGTCAGCCTTTTTATCCGCCGAACGATTGTCTGTTATTCTGCCTTGATTGTTGCTACCTTTACTCTGGGGGTGAAGGTGGGTTGCACCTGATGCCACATCGGCTTGGAAGGAGAACGAAACATTTCCTTATAAGGGGTGTAGATACCTTCCTTGTCATAATTATGACTGTTAATTGGGTCAACCCGATCGAGTTTCGGGTTAAACGGGTCGGGTTAATTGGATTTTTTTTTAAAATTTGACCATAAACTCGACCCTATTAAGGTTCAGGTTAATCGGGTTTCGGGTTAACCGGGTCGGGTTAGTCGGGTTAATTGGGTTTAAAAAGAAATAAAATAATATTTGTTTATTTTAGCAAATAACTTACAAATATAAGGACCTTAAATGTAACGTTTTAAAAAGTAAACTCTCTATACATGGAATGAATTTAAAAACTTAAAATCGTGGGTTCATAAACTTGCTTCAACTTACATATACATAATTTTTGTTACCTTTTGAACTCTCTGTAACTTACATATAAAGAATTTTTGTAACCTTTTGAACTCTCTGTGAACATAACATTTATCAAATATGTCATTTTTTTTGTATTTTAGTAATTTGTAATTAGTTAGTTACTTAGTTTATAAATTGACATGGTAAAAACTTAAATATGAAATACTTGTGAAACATTCAATAATAAAATTTACGTCACGAGCAACAGTTTAAAATATTAGCAACAAAAAACAAAATGAGTTTGAAATCAAGTGTTTATATCCAAAATAACTGTTGAATTGGCAAAACAAGCTTCCTTTCTTTCATCTCTGACGCTCAAAATTATAAGCTTGCACCTTCTTGTTCCATCAAAGCTACATAAACAAAAATAATTAGCAACCTATAGTAAGATAAATTTAATAAAAAAGTTATAGATGATTGAAAGTACCTTTCTCTAGGAGAATTGTTATTTCCCAAACATCATCTTTTTCCGTATTAATACTTTTACGAAGCCAATCTTGTGTACAAATTAGGCTTTCGATAGTTTTGTCGCCTAAAGAACTCCTATATGAATCCAACACCCTCCTACTCGTGCTAAATACCGACTCCGAAGCCACGGTTGAGATGGGAACATCTAATAAATGTTTAGCCATAAGAGATAAAATTGGAAATCTCGGGCTATTTACTTTCCACCAAATCAATATCTCAAAACTACCATTTGTATCAAAATCTTCAACACTTTCACCCAAATACTTATCCAATTCACTAATTGACGATGAGGATGTTTGGCTCGTTTTCATTCTATTTCTCAATCTATCTCCATGATCGAAATTTGGTGTTGTAGATGTAGGAGTATTGGGGTTTGGACGTTTTCTTAATGTTGAAGTTGAAGAAGTAGTAGATGGCGGGGCATGAATTCTCACATAATCTTCATACAAAGCTTTTAATTAATTCTTTATGTGCATTTTCTTTAATTCAACAACTACTTTTCCTTCAAGCCCATAATGATCATCCAAAATAATTTCCAAAAATTCTTCCTGCATGAAGCGGGACGTAGCATGGTATGTAGATCGGTGCTTGACCTGCAGGAAGGTCAAGGCCGAGCACCAGAGACCACACGGCAAGATGCAGCCGCTAGACGTTCCCGCGTGGAAATGGGATGATATCACCATGGATTTCATCACCAAGCTTCTCAGGACCGCACGTAGAGTAGATTCGATATGGGTCATCGTGGATCGGTTGATCAAGAGTGCTTATTTTATCCCGATCCAGGAGAGTATATCGGCCGAGAAGTTGGCCAAGATCTACGTGTGTGAGATAGTGGCACGACATGGAGTGCCTGTCTCGGTGGTGTCAGACTGAGATGTTCGTCTCACTTCCAGATTTTGGAAGCGGTTTCACGACGAGATAGGTACTCGTCTCCACTTCAGCACCGCTTTCCACCCTCAGACGGATGGACAGAGCGGGAGGACGATTCAGACTCTCGAGGACATGTTGCGCGCATGTGTTTTGGATTTCGGTGGCAGTTGGGATACGTATCTTCCATCAGCGGAATTTTCGTATAAAAACAGTTACCACGCCATCATAGACCGACCTCCCTTTGAGATGCTCTACGGGAGGAAATTTAGGACCCCAGTTTGTTGGGGCGAGGTCGGTCAGAGTGTCATGGGGAGTACTGAAGTAGTACTCAAGACTACTGAGAGGATCCAACAGGTCCGGAGCAGGCTCCAGACTGCTCAGAGTCGACAGAAGAGCTATGCCGACAAGCGGTGTTCAGACTTGGAGTTTCAGGTGGGCGTCATGGTCCTCCTGAAGGTGTCACCTTAGAAAGGTGTCATCCGGTTCAGGAAGCGGGGCAAGCTGGGCCCTAGATACATCGGTCCGTTCAGGGTGTTGGATCGAGTGGGCCGGGTTGCTTACCGTTTGGATCTTCCAGCAGAGCTCAGCCAGATCCACAACACTTTCCATGTTTCTCAGTTATGGAAGTGCTTAGTAGATGACTCATCGGTTGTGCCGCAAAGGATATTCAGGTTGATGAACGCCTGAATTACATCGAGGGACCAGTGGCCATTCTTGATAAAAAGACGAAGGAGCTGAGGAACAAGAGGGTTGAGCTGGTGAAGGTGCAGTGGCAGCACCGCAAGGGTTCAGAGTGGACTTGGGAACCCGAGAAAGAGATGAGGGAGCACTACCTGGAGTTGTTTTCCGACGCAGCAGACTTCGAGGATGAAGTCTAAGACAGGTGGGGGAGAATTGTAACGCCTGGTTTCTGGTACGCATTTAATTATAATTTATTCACTTTTGAAGAGCTACTCGGCGAGTTAGGAGCCCCAGACTCGTCGAGTAGAAACGAGATTGGCCGCTGGATTTTAAGTCGCCTAATCGACGAGTTGAGAGCCTCGACTCGGCAAGTAGGCCTGCCAAAATGAAACCCTAATTTCAGGGTTTTGCACCATGATTAAGCATCTTAATCCCCACTTGCTGGCCTCATCGCCAGCCTCTAAGTCCAAAACCCTAATCCACGAAACCCTAGTGCCTTGTATGAGCTTGTGAGTTGTTTTGAGTGACGATTATGTGTTTTGAAGCTTGTTGAAGAAGGAGGAGCTTAGAGATTCAGAAGGAAGCTAGTAGATCCAGAAACAACATCTCATCATCTTCATTTTCTGGTAAGCAAGTCTTAACCTTGCTTAGTAGCTTGTTAGATCTCCTTCTTATCATTTTATGGGGTTTTTGGTCCAAGAAACATGATCTTTAGGACATAGACGTCCCAAGTGGGTATACTTTTAGATCTATGACCTTGAGGGGCTCACATGGCATAAAGGTGCAAACTTTATGGCTATGGAAGCCCCATGCAAGCTATAAGTTGTCATTTTAGCCTTTTAAGCTTCAAAAGGCCATGCATGGGAAGAAAGTTAGGAACTTTACGTGTTCAAATGATGTCTAGAGCCTAGATCTATGTTAGTATGCTTTAGTTTGGAGTATGGATGACTTGTGGACCAAGATCTAAGTCCTAAAGATTTAGTGTTTGAGCTAAACTCATCAAATGAGGGTATTAGTGGGTAAAGTTGGAAACTTTACCCTTAAAAGGACATTTTCAGGGTATATGTGAAGTATGAAGCTTAGATCTGAAGAGTTGAGGCTTAATCCGTTGAGATGGCCCAAACAGACTGAGGAACTCGGCGAGTCCAGAGAGGGACTCGACGAGTTGAGTCGTTTTGTCCTGATTTTGTACGAGGTAGAACTCGGCGAGTCTGCGAAGGGACTCGACGAGTTGATTCGCCAAATCACGACTATGAGTACCCAGGGAACTCGGCGAGTCAGGGGGATGACTCGATGAGTTGGATCACGATTTCAGGGTTTTTGATTTGTAGAACTCGGCGAGTTGATGAGTCAACTCGGCGATTTGAGTCAACCAAAATGTTGACTATGACCAAAATGTTGACTTTGACCAGGGGTAAAATGGTCATTTTACCCTAAGAAGGATTATCATATTTTGACTAAGTGTTATTGTGATAATGATACCCGAGGAGTCGTTGGAGCAGCCGTCAGAGATTCTTCACGCGGGATTTCACAGTTAGCTTACGAGGTGAGTTTTCCTCTAGTAGGACGGGTCGAAGGCACTAATTTCGTCCTGTTTATGTATGTTCGAGTGTGTCGGACTTCGGTCTGATGTCGGGGTTAGACCGATGTAGTTTATATGTTTTCCGAATTTCGATCCGATGCCGGAGCGGTACCCGAAGAATGTTAGTATGCTTGATGTCTTTGTGATTCTGGCATGTGTATGTATTTGTAAGTTTCCGGACTACGGTCCGATGCCGGGGCGGTTCCCGAGGAATGTTTGTATGCTTCTGAATTTCGGTCCGATGCCGGGCGGGTCTCGAGGAATGCTTATATGTCGATAGTTGAGTGTTTATGCTTATGTTATGTGTATTAGTAGTTATGCTCATATGTATGCCGAGTTTTACTCGATGCCGGGCGGGGCCTGATGCCAGATGCGGTCTGATGTCGGGCGGGGCCCGATGCCGGACAAGCCGATGTCGGGTAGTGCCCGATGTAGTAGGGCGGAGCCTAATGTATGTTATATGCGGTTATGTGATTACGTGTATGGTATGTGGTAGTTTGGGTGACTCACTAAGCTTCATGCTTACAGTTTTCAGTTTTGGTTTCAGGTACTTTCGCTAGTAAGGGGAAGAGCTCGGGATGACTGCATGGCACACACCACAGTTTTTTGCCCGGGAGGATTCACTCTGATGTTTTGACATATGATTTTGATACATTGACAGATGTTATGATATTTTCGAGATACACGATTTATGACTTTTGTATGATCGATGATACTTATGGTTTTTATTAATGAATTAAAATGAAATTTTTGGACTGTATTTTTGGGATGTTTCAAGCGTGGGCAGCTGGAGCGGAAGAGTTGAGGAGGAAGGCTGTGGAGGATGACATGATGTGGCTACTCCAGAAGGGTGTTGTCCGGGTAGTGGACAAGGTGGTCGAGAGCGTTGAGTTCTCGCTTGGAGTTAGGCGGATGAAAGCGACATGTATGGCTGCCGGTGTGGAAGGAGGTAAGTAAACGGTGATAGAGCAGGTGGCTGTTGGGATGTTCGATCCTGGGGAGTTGAGCGTCGTCGTGGAGATGACTCAAGCCATGCATGCCTCTGTGAAGGCTTTTATGGATACAGACTTCGCTTCGTATCTCTGCTTGGGTGAGCTTGACCTGGGAGGCCTCTGCCAATTGTGCAATGATCCTGATGTCGAGGATGTTCCTCCAGAACATGATCCTTCCCAAGCTGGTGCCTCCTCTGATTCGCTTGGTAAGTGACCCTTTCCTCCTTCTGGCTTGTCTGTGTGAAACAGTGCTTGAACTTTTTTGATGTTCCAGAGACGATGTCTCAAAGACAATATTGTTAATCGTTGTTTGGCCCTGCGTGGCCCTTTTAATTCTGGGGGTTGGCCGGCGAAACAATTTTTTTGTCTTTTGATAATATGGTTATTTTTTATTCTGTAATGCCTTTTATTTTAATCCCAGGTGGTTTATGTTGGCCACTGGTGCACACATGCCCTTATTTTTCCTTATTGAGGCGATTCTTCCCCCAAGTTTATGTTGGCCTTGGGGGTCACCTCTTTCTTGTTTCGTAAGGAATTATGTTTTTTTTGCTCAATGGGAGAATGTTGGCGATTTAGCCATGTTACTAGATTTTCCCAACTTATGACTCTAAGACTCATATTTGTTTAGGGTCCTTTGGGCTTATCCCGGGAGCACGCGCTGGGAGCTCAGAATTGGCACTTTCTTTGGGTCATAGACCATTTTTTCTAGATTGGGACTTTTTGTCTAGTTTGCTTTGTTAGGGTGTCTTTTTTATCTAATGTTTATTGGTTACCCTTTTGGGACTTTGTTCTATGTCCTGGGCCTTGGAGAGTTGCACTCCGACCCTAATCATCTATGTCAAGCCGAGATCGTCACCTCGAGGCATTTAGGACTTAGGTATTACTTGTTTCAAGGGAAATGTTATGAGACATTGAATCCTTTATTCATGTAACGGTCAAGATTTGTGGACTTTTACGCTGAATAGACATGTTTAGGGAAAAGTTATGAACCTTTGACGCCTATGGTTGCATTCTCATAACAATTTCGCTCAAATGATGTGGATGATCAGTCCTTGTTACCATTTGGTAAACGTGCAAAACCTCTTATGTAAATGATATCAAGCTTGAATAGTAAAAAAATGTTCTAATAGTTTTTCTTATAGTCAACTTCCTTGTACTTCATTGATAATGTTTTAGAAACATCTACATTGTTTGGCGAGTAAGCATAACATAAACCAAGGCCTAACTCTTGGGCAGGTTTGTTGGGGTGTGATTATCCATTCGGAGTTTGATCACATTACCATTGCCTCTGATGTGCCTTATCTGGACCTTTATCTTTGGTATAGGGGTGGTGGTGCGAATTGTACGCACTCCAGGTCTAGGGAGTGACTCCTCCATGCTGAACTCCTTGGAAGCAAGCTCCATCTTGGTGTGTGTTTGTGGTCCTGCTCGCGCATTCCCTGGCAGCGTTCAACTTGCTCTGGGGTCGTGCGTGGCTAAACCCATTTTTTTCCGATGCCCATTCTTCTGCTTTGGAGTTTTCCACTCACATGCACCAAGTGTGGTGATTTTTGGCGTTTCCCCTGTGGGCGGCTTGGCAGAGTCTAATGGTCTCTTGTTTCTTGTTAAGTACGTTCATGTTTGGACGTTGCTTTGCCTTGTTGGTGTTTGCATCAAATTTTGGCACTTGCAACGGCCTGTTTGCATTCCCAAGTGACGATATTGATTTTGCGCCTCGTTTCGGGTTGAAGGGTACTTCTCCGACATCGGGTCTTGGGGCCTGGCGATGTAACTGAGACGTTGATGGTGGTTCTTTGACACAAGCTCTTTTCAATCCCGATGAATTCTTATCTCTTTCCCGCTGAATGAAATGGTTGGAGGTTACCATAGGGAACCTAGATCCTCCTGGGGTGACGGGGGGTGGCCTCATGGCTTCTATTCCCCATTGACCGGGTGACTGATGGCTTTTGGTCAGAACCGTGGAGTGTTGGCTTTGAGAAGGAATGAGAACTTGGTATTCTGGGTATTCCTCAACAACATTTTCTGGGAGTTCAATCTTGTCTTTGCGTGCGTTGGGCCGACGTGCTCCTGGGTGAGACATCCTTCTGACAATGATTCTCAGGCCTCCTCATGCTCTGGTTGCACTTGCTTGATTCCTTTATAAGGGCAAGTGTCTTTCTTTTCCTGGTTGCGCCTTCCATATTGTGAGTCGCACAACTTTGGCACTGGCCTTCTTGTCATATGGGAGATCTCTTGGAAGAGGCCCGTACGAGGAGTGATCCAACGATTGTTTGAGCCGATTGGGAATTTCCATGGCATTGGTGATCTGTTTTTTTGTTGACGTCTCTTCCTTATAGGGCTTCATTTGGCACCTTCTTGAATTGGTGGTCAAAGGATGTTGATGGCAACCCGCTCAGAGCATTGGTACTCATGACTTTTTCTCAAGGGGGGTCTGTTCGACCTTGAAATCCCTGTTGAATCTTGTCAATTCTTGCTCCGTGCCTTGGTAACTTTTGGCCGTTCTAATATCTGGCCCTGTGGGTGACATAAACCCCGTCAGTGGTAGATAGAGACTCACCGAGGGTTGGAGAGAGTTTTACTCCAGCTTCCTGTGCCTGGCAAAGGCCTGTTCGAAGTCCTTCTTTGTCTGTTGTTTTGTTCTCTATCAAGGGCTTTTGAATCTTGCCCTGATTCAAGGTGATTTCTACTTGGTCGTCTGAAGGTTGGCCTTTCCCCTCCTTTAAAATGAACTCGCCTAGACTTGGTATCATCTACGATCATGTGGTATCGTGGGGGGGGGGGGGGGTAGGATTGTCTTACTCAGGCCAAGGTAGTTGATGCGCTCTCGTTGTGATTTGCCATGCTTTCTTGTTGCCATTTGGTTTGTGACCCAACTAGGGGAGATCGGTTCCTGGGGAGTGCTTGTACCTACTGGCCTTATGGCTTCATGTTTTGTTGCCTTGCTCTTCTCGCCTACTTGCCTACCATTTTGTTTATTGATTGAGGTTCGTATTATCCCTGGGGAAGCGAGGGACTGATAGTAACGTCTAACGTGTGGGCTAAAGGCAACGATAGTGGCTGATCCAATGCTCATGCGAAACTTCACAGTGTCGTGGATCGTCGATGGTATGGCCCATATTTGGAAAAGTGCCAGCCGCCCGAGCAGGATGTCGTACTCTGACAGGGAGCGTTCTACTGAAAACTTTATTGTGAATTTATAACTGTATCTCTCTCTTCATGATTGGTTATGGTAAGAGGGAGATGTATGGTACCTAACAGCCATAAGCTATTCCCTGTAAACCCTGTGAGGGGACTGGCAGTCGGAGGTGTTAAACTTGTCTTCTAGGAGATCGACAATTGTTGGAGTAAGTGCTCATAAAGGATATCGGTACCATTGTCGTTGTCTATGTAGACACGATTGATTGGTATTTGACGTATGCAGGAAGTTATAAAGAGCGAATCACTGGGGTTCCAACCAGGCATCCTCAGATCTTCTGACGAAAAACTAATATTGAGGATATTTTTAGGGAGTACCTCAATGTCGTCATCCATTTCGCAACGCTCGCTTCTCTTACGGGGCCTCGTGATGGTAAGGATCTCCTCATTGACTTAGCGTTTGCCAGTATCTTTCTGATCTCGGGCGTTCCTCTGGTCGGCGTCAAACTTGGATCTCAAATCCTTTGCAATTGTCGAGAGGTTGTCTGTTAGCTATTTTCATCCATTTCCTTCCTCAGAACCGTGGACTCGCCGGTATCGTAAGTTTTGCTCTTGTGATTCTCACAATATTTATGTTTTGATTGTTGGATATAGTGTCTAAGTCCATAACTATATTTGGTATGTACTTGACCCGACCCGGCATGGTCCATTTGGGTTGCACTTCACCCGAACAATTTACGGATAATCTTTTGAGAATAGTATAAGTTATGATTTATTAATATATTATAAGTTCTAATATATTAATATAAAATCATATTATTTAATTAGTGTTGATCTATAATTAATTTAGAGATCAAAAGTATGACTAATTAAATATGGGCTCTTGTATTTATATAGTGTGGGCTAATGCTTATTTGGAATGGGCTAGGCTTGCATGGAAAGTCCATGGATACTCCATGGAGCTTTAACCCGTGGATCTCATAGAAATGAAAAGACATGGGTATTAGGGTTTACATGGATGTAACCCTAATCCACCACACTATATAAAGGAGGCCTTGGTTCTTGAAATTGCGTTAGTTGTGGTGAGTAAAGTAAGAGGGCCGATTTCAAGAAAGGTGATTACTATTCTCTCAAAATTCCAAGTTTGTGGTGATTTGTGATTTCCATTTGAGGAATCCACACTATTGGTGCTAGGCTCTAAAACTCCAAGCAATCAACTACAACTACAAGGTAAGTAATTCTACTAGATTTATTTGATTCAAGTTCCCCATGCCATGCTAGATAGGATAAGAACCTTGGAAAAATAATTATTTGCATGTATCTTAGTCAAACATAGATCCAAGGTTTCTAGGGTTGCATGTACACCATAGGAGTGTTAGAATGCTCAAAACCCATCAGTGGTATCAGAGACTGGTTTGTTTATTTGATACTTGATGCAAAAAAAAAAAAAAAAATTGAAAATCGAAGTTTTGTTCAAAAGCTCGTATCAAAATTTCAAGTTTTGTATATGTACTTATGATTCTTGAAATTTTTGATATGAACATTCATAAACATATGAGTTTAGAAGATCATAGAAATTATGTGCTAATAATTGATTAGATTAATTCTTGATCTTTATGTGTTTTAATGGAGTCCATAACTAGTTCTTAAGTTATGGATAACCAAAAGTCACATTTATAAATAACCATTAAAAGAACACATAGGTTACAAAAAATGAAGAGTCTTCATTTTTAATAACCATTAACTCATAAGTTATGAGAAATGAAAAGTTTTAAAAGTTTACAAAACTTGCCCTCAAGTTTTGGAACATGTAAAGTCATATTAAAAACTTTAGTTCCAACCCCTAGAATTTTAAAAGTTAAAATTCAACCCTTATAATTTATAATATTATAAGTTTAATAATATTTATATATGTATAAGATCAAGTCGTCTTACCGCTAGTACGCCTCATTCACGAAGCCGGTCTATAAGGGGGGTATAAGGTTGTTGCCTATAAAATGGCAACTTAATGGGTGTCCACTCTCACCCACCGCTTCCTTGATCGGTGGAGGGTCGTTAGCCGAACGGGTAGGACAAGGACTTATAAATTCTCATTAAAAGTATAATGATAATACTCAAGTAACTAAACTTTATTGAATTCCCAATCTTAGTTATTTTAGGAAAATGTG